GGAAAAATAGCAATTTAGCAGGCAAGTTTAGTGGGTAAGGAGTGAGTGGGCGGGGAGGGTTCCCACGGGCCATGTGGGTGGTGCAGCTTTGTGTTTCTGCGCAGCCTGGATTAATTGCTTTGTGGGGGTGGTCTGGGGGTGAGATTTCTCTGCAGCCCACCAAAATTTTCTCATGGTCCACCAGTGGGCCGTGGCCCACTGGTTGGCGACTGCTGGCCTCGGGAACCCAGCTGATAATGAAAGGCAATTGTGCACCTGATCCTAATCACATCCTAAAACCAACAAGGGATTGATCAAGCTCTGCCAATAAATGCATTACTAAATTGAGGCTGCAGAATTCCAGGCAATCACTAGATGGTAGTATTGGCACAAGGAATCCAAAAATTAATCCCTCCCTGCCATCTAGTGGTTACTCACAATTTTGCAGGATTGCACCTCCTTCTTCCTTCTTCTCATCTGCCCTCAATTGCCTAAGTTGGTGATGGAGGATGAAGAGAAGAGAAGAGAAGAGAAGAGAAGAGAAGAGAAGAGAAGAGAAGAGAAGAGAAATGTGACACCTGAACCTTCTTACTTAAATCAGTTAGAAAAAAAAGATGTTTCTAAAAAATAAATCCAAAATATTGGACTGTTTTAAAAGTCCAATCTGCTCACCTAGGGGGTTAGACAGCTCTATTCCCCCAGCCCCAAAAGCAAATATTGTGAATTACACTACCAGAAACTAATTGCATTTACCATCTCAGAGCTAAATGAAAACTTCAGACCCTTTATTATAATTATTTTCATAATTATTTTGTCATTATAATTCAAACAGTACTTCATCTTAGCTGTATTAATTATGCTAAGCCAGTAATGGCAAATAAAAATGCCAAAGTTTAAACCACATGGCTGAATTTCAGTTTAGTTTTTGTCCTTTTCAATGAAGTCATTGGCTTTGGAGTTGGGGAAAGTGTTCCATTCAAAGGCTGAGAGTGGTCCGTTGTCTGGAAAAATATATCGTTTGGAGGAACTATCTTTAGTGGAACAGTTTGCCTTCAGATTAATAGAATAACATAGTTGAAAAGGACATCGGAGATCTTCTAGTCTAGCCTGCTGCTCAAGCAGATGTCCTTATACCATTCCCAACAAATGGTTGTCCAAACTTTTCTTGAAAAGATCCAGTGGTAAAGCACCCACAACTTCTGGAGGAAAGCCGTTCCACTGGTTTATTGTTCTCATTGTCAGGGAATTCTCCATAGTTCTAGGTTTCTTCTCTCCTTGATCAGTTTCCACCCATTGTTTCTTGCTTTGATTTCAGGTGCTTTGGAGAATAGCTTGACTCCATCTTCTTTGTGGCAGCCACTCAAAATTTGGAACCCTGCTATCATGTCACTTCTAATCCTTCTTTTCATTAAACTAGACATACGCAATTCCAGCAGCAGTTCTTCATATGTTTTAGACTTCAGTCCCTTAATCATTTTTGTTCTTCTACTCTGCACTCTTTCTAGACTCTTGATTTTTTTATGTCCTAGCAACCCAAACTGGATGTAATATTGTGTCGTGAGTGCTCCATCACTTGAGGTTTTTAAGAAGAGATCAGGTGAACATTTGTCTGTAATTGTATAGAGTCTTCTCCTTGAGCAGGGGGTTGGACTAGAAGACCTCCAAAGTCCCTTCTATCCCTATTATTCTAACCCAGATTATTCTGATCTATGCACATGGGCCAGACAAAGCAACACTTTAATGTCCTGATACTTGTTGTTCTTTCTGAGATCCAGGAGCAGAATATTCCACTGGACTCCTCTGCTTCCTTCCCATGTCCAGATATGGATGCCCTATCACAGCATGGCTGTGCTGTCCCAGCCAGTGTATGGGAAATGGATAGTTAGGTAGCAATTATGAGCTGTCCCCTTAAGGGAAAGCATCTTGGTAAATGTAGTTAAAGGTATCCTGGGAAATGTAGTCCATGTCACGTGACCACATCTGTAATCCTGATTGGTCACTGAATTGACCCTTGATGGGTTGGGGGAGGTTTTCCTCACTTTTGCCTTAACTCTCTAATTCATGGCAGCTAATTCATGGGTTAGGAGATAACCATTTTTTACTACAAGGCAGATATACAAAGGATTGGTCATTAAAGAAGAACTTCATCACAAATGTGAGTTATGAGGATACCTGATGAACCAATAAATGTAATTTGTTATGGACATCTTGTTGAGTTATCTATCTGCATCTGTACAGTTTATAAATCCACCTCTGTGCAGAAGGCAGAAAAATGGCTGCACCAACAAGCTTTGTTTGTTTTTTTATGGGTAAGGAGGCAAAGAGGCAGAATCCCATTCTTGGTGTTAGAAAACTCGACTAAGCTGACAAACGTTCCCCGGGGGGACAAGCCACTGCTTTGTGGCTTAATTTTGTAATTCTAGATTCCTATTTTTTCTTTAAAGAACACAAACGGAGGCCGGAGGCCAACATAAAAGGGAAAAGCAATCTACGAAACCCACCACAAATGAATTCTACTTATTCCTTTTATTACTCTGCCCTAATAAATTAAAAAATAAGGAAGAGGCAGAAAGATAGTCTAAAACCAGAGGGAGGAGCTGATTACAATCTTTGCAATCCGAGTTAAGAAATT